CGTTTTGACTCAATTATTACTGTACGTTCATTTTCTTCATAAAAGTAACTGGCTGAAATAATCAAAAGTATCGTCGGAACGATTTTATTTGTTTTAATATCTAAAAACACATCGGGAAATAATTCAAACTACGACACAAATAATTAAGTTTGACGAGAAAGAAATTTGGAAAGATACGTATCTCCAAGGATTTAAAGCTCTTAAATCACAGAAACTATACCACAAAAAAACACATAATAAAAGCTCTTACATCATAAATCCACCACAGAAAACGTTTCCCACTGCCCAAAGCCTCGTAACAAATCCCAAATATAAAAAAAAGCAAACAATACTGGGCTATAAAACAACCAACCCGATGCGGTCAAATTTACGGTGTACCAGATCTTTGATGTACGGGAGTGGTGAATGGCCAACATTACTTATCTACTTGTCCTTGTCCACCTTGAAGCTTTCACTGGATCCTCTCACCCCAGAGTTTCAAGCGTTAGTGCAATATAGATTTCCTCTTGAAACTGAGGATGTGGGAATTATTTGCTTACTAGGCTCTTAATGCAAGACGAAACAAAGATGTATTTTAAAAGATAAACTAATGTTTTTCTTCTCTAATTAATATGTGAACGAATAGATAGCTAGATAGATAGATGGATAGATATTTAAATTAATGAAATCGAAATACAAGTTCCTATTGATTCAGGTATACAAATGATGTATACCACTCGTTCCAAAAAAGTATCTTCGCGATTTTGTGTGAGACAATATGGCACAACGTATACTTTTTCGGAGCGAGTGTACACAATGCAGGTATAAATATGCTTATTTCCAGTAGACTTCAGTGGAATCTAACTCCTTTGTTAGAGACGAAAATATCATCACAACTGCCCAAGACCAATTACAAGAATATCTATCGCAAGACATGAAAAAAAATTACCCAAGTTCAACTCATTGTATTTCTTCCTCACAGTCGACATAACCAATTAACCCAAATATTACAGCATACACATTAACTCTTATTAAAGTGTAAAACAACAAATATCAATAGAACGTGATCAAACCTCACTGTTAACTTCCCTAATTAGCAATATACTGTACGTACTTTCAGGAATATACGACACTACATTTTCTCACGATACAGTGCATACTTATCTAAATATAACCATAAGCCAGTGTATGTAAGTTAAATGGAACAGTTTAACTATTAGACTTCACAACGTTTGCATCCTGTCACCACAAACTGTGATATCCAGCGGCCTCTATCACGCTGACCATTTCACCTTTCGCCCGCCAGTCCGCTTCATCTTAATGCCCACAACTCCTTTCAAAATTCACTAAAAAAAATAGATGTTTACCTTTAGAGAACATGTTCTTTCGACGGTAAAACGAAGAAAACAGAAGCATAAACTGGTTCAGCAGTCTAAGATCTGGGGCACTGAGAGAGGAAGATCAGCTGGTCATAAGTTCTCTTAAAGTTGGGGAATGTGGGAATTGTTTGGCTTTTTTATGGATATCTCTAAATGATATTATGCAAGTGATGTTTTCATGTGGTTTATGGTCTCGTTATGAAACAGTTTCAGAAAGGTGACAAATAATCAGACTAATCATCAGAAAACAAATGCTAGTATTGGTCTGTGGATTATAATGTTGTTCTGGCGGGCCAGGCTGGGTGGGACTGGAGTGAGAGGTGTAAGAATAAATTACTGGGCTATACTCAGCGAGTAACCATCGACCGCACCAGAGGACTTAGCTGCTAAGTTCTTTATCATTGCGTCTTAAGTATTGTTTACTATGACTCTTATACAATCTATTAAATATGAATTATCTTAGTATGGAACCGAAATGTGTTATAGAGCGGGTCTGATGTTCTCCCTGGCGGATTATGGCGACTTGTGGTCCTGGAAGTCTCAAGGTCGGCCCAGCCCACCAGCTCCCTCACCGACACACACACACACCTCATTTATCTCTTCCATTATCTCGTCAGTACTTAAAAGTCATGGCTAATCTATTGATAAAGGGATAAGTGATGGAATACGCGGCGGCGACGTAGCGTTCACTAGTGATCAATAGTAGCACAAAATGTCAAGAGTTTAATGACAGAAGGTGAAGGTGAAGTACAATGATGTAGTCTCCCCCATGATCCTCTCTTATTACTGGTCACAGCTGGTGAACCTCTTCATCTGTCTTACGTATTGTGCCCACTACTATACAATACTCAGTACAGTACTTATGGCAGTGAAACATAGGCAGTTGAAGAGGATGACATATAGTAGTCTCGAGCCAGCTAAAAGGAGAATGGTGAGGTGGATGTGTAATGTGACACTGAGAGATTGGAAACCCTGTTCAGAGCTAAGAGGGCATCATGTCAAAAGATGGCGTACTAACTCTACTGTATTCATTGTAAGAGTGAAATTGCTTGTTTTACAGACGGTTGTGCTGTATGTACTACCTGATAGCAAATTTCTGTAATGTGAATCTTAAGAGGTCCTACCCTTCAACATCATCACGTATGAAGTGTCTGTTCCACAATTACAAAACATATCATTTAAAGAACGTCAAACTCAAACGAATGTACTTGTTTCACCCTTTCCCGTCCACCCAAACTTGGCGAACGACCCGAGAAATTAAGAGCACAAAGAGAAAGGGAAGAACACTATTAGAGCATTGACTACACAGCAAATTGTTCGTGATGTCTCGCTCTGCCAACACGAAAGGTCACAATTTGAAGCCCGGCAAGGTTATCATGCAGGACGAATATGGGGATATATTTCTTCATACAGTGGGTGGTAGACCTATGTAACAGTCTACCAGCTTGAAACGTTCTGTAGGGAAAGTCAAGCAAACTCAGTTCGAGCGCGAGGTTTACAAAATGGTGCCTATTGTAACAATAGCCTGAGAAAAACGTAGAAAATAATTCGCCCTTACTTGAGTATGACGTCAACTGTTGCGTGGCGGCGATAGGCTAACACTAGGAGAACTTGAGCAAGCACTATCAGCACCTTTAATACGCATGACGATTCGCAGCGTGAGGTATACAAAAGATCGGTGCCAGAGTACAAAGCTGGCGTAACTCTTCCTGTAGAAGATAACTGACTCTGGTAAAAGATCATCCCAGCATCTACTGTCATTTGTGGTGAAGCATGAAAAATAATTGTTGGATTGTGTTTTTTGTTTTATATGGATGAGGAAGGACGCCACTCAGAAGCCTCATGAGTCAACTGACCGCAACCGAGGTCTTGATGCTGAAAGATTCGTACGCTGAAAATTATATAATTATTTATCTATTGCTGTATCTGTGGAATAAAGAACAGGCCCATTAAACTAAATATGGCGTAAAATCAGTAGACAAAATGGATCTAAGGTTCTGTTTGACTCTAAGGAAACTACATGTATTCTCTTCATAAATTAAAGGGGAAAATATCGCCAGAAGTTTTGATTATACGCTGGGCACAGACGTCATCCAAACAACATTATCTTATTGACAAGTGTGAACCACAAGCACGAACTTAGGTACGTTGGTCGCTTACACAACAAATAGACCTAGACCACTTTCTCCCTGAGTTCACGCTGAGCCACGCAAGGTCCCCAGAATATACACACACACACACACACACATGCGCCTCCTCATTGAGTTTCAACATTCAAGAGTCCAAATGGTGAAGAGGATATAAGTAAAAAAGTAAAAGTATTAACCTAACCTAAGTTACCTCTTTTCCAACTTAACAATGACCTACCCTAACGTTGGCCTAACCAACCCTAACAAAACGCTGGTTCACCTCACAGGGCGCCACAGAAGAGAACAAGGATACGCTGGTGTCGACCAATGTTTGAAGGAAGTCGATATATTTGAGCAAGTCTCTCGGGGAAGGGTCGAGACTTGCTCTCCCTTCGGTTTTTTTCTCATGTGTAAACGACCTTAGCCTAATTCTCGAGGCAAAACTCTCATATGTAAACGTACCATTATGGATCTCCCCGGAAAAATCCTGTGGACGCCCTTGGAGGTTTGCTATATATGCAGAGCAATATTAAGAATTAGGAATTAAACAGACACCGAAAAACATTTACTGCATCTAAATAGTAAATTATATATCTCCAACGACTCCACGATAGCAACATTTCGTCATGTGCAAAACTATTAGAATTAGCACTCACTTCCGTACGCCGAGCCATATTGGAATATTAGCACGAACAGAGGCGCTAAACCATCTATTTTTCAGACGTCAAGACCCAACCAGAGCTACAGTATCTTAAGTTAACCTAATATATCAACCCTATAGTAATTTTCGGTAAGGTTAAGTTTAATTGTTTCATATCAACATACAAACCTTAAAAAATAATTCATCGGTAATAGATGAATATAATTGCACATTGTATGCAATTACGTGTATTAGAATTGTGAGCCTAACACAGGTGTCAGCGGGTAAGTTATGACTCTAGGACATAATACTAAGTTAAGAAGATCATTAGAGCTAACTCCTTAAGATAATGAATTTTCCCCTTACCCTTTAATCCGACTCACACAAAAGAGGAAGAGGAGCAGAGGCGTAAAATGAACTGTTGGAATTCAATATACGTAGTGTTCACTTAACTTTACTACAGCGGTGGAGTTTCCTGCAGTGGGAATAGTGTCTGGTGGGATTTTCTCAGGTAGGATTTTACTCGTGAACTTAAAAAAAATTATTAATTGCATTTCACATACTCCCACTGAAACACTTGATGGTCCTGAATGAAAGGTGAGAAGGTCGACAGTGCCCCCTGTGACCCGCGTACGGTTGCGTCAGCCTGGTTCAGCGCGTCACATCAACAAAATATATAACCTTCTCTGTTGATTTACATTTTTCTTATGAACTAACTACGTTGCAGAATATTTCAGACGCTTAAATATACAGTTGCAAATGAGAAAGAAGCTAGGATATGCGTGTACATGTCGCGTTAGAGAGAAAACTGTGGTGTCATTCAGTAGGTCGCCCCTCCCCCTCCAGGTTCCAGACCCCGCCTCGTCTACACGCCCCTTCACCAGCTATATAAAGGCCGGGTGAGGTCGAACGAGTACAGTTCTCGAGTTAACATCACCTTAGGTACGATACACATCATTCTCTCACGATGAAGGTATGTTGTGACAGCAGCTTTCTCAGTGGATATTGTTAATTTTTTCCAAGTGATTATTTTAGCGTATGATAAATGATATTAGAATCACTCTTAGGTAATAATATACGTTCATAGATATTTGAGGTTAATTATTCAGAATATTAAGTTTGTAGATTAGGTTCACGGAATAATTTTCTATAAGTGTCATTAAGAACTTGGCCTCAAGAACATCGCCAAGATTATGTTTTTTTTTTTTTTATGGTATTAAGAACTACCGTAGCTTTAGAAAATATTCTTACGAACAATGTTAACAGTTAAGCACCTAGACATCGCTCAAGATATAAGAATTCAGAATATCAAGGGATGCCATTTCAAAATAGCTTGGGCAAATAATCCAAGAAATGTAATTATAATAGACTTGAGGATAACCACAATTGGCCTAAAAAGATACATTATCAAGATCGGGGTCAATGACTAAAGATGGAAATTACTTTAAAAATACATTCATATATAATAGTTCACTAACTTAAAACATATTAATTCTTCTATAAACAAAATATAAATAGTTTGAATACACAATTGACAAACATATATAATTAGACCGAACATTACACCCTTTCTGTGTTTACCGTATGCCGAGTTTCGTCGACTTCAGGTGGTCGTCTTTGGACCTTACCACAGTAAACTCCTTTCGAAACGCTCGACTACATATAAACAAAGACTAAAATTTTAGACCTCTTTAATATTAACCAGTCTGTATTTTGGGTTCCTGGCATATATTATAAAGCAATCATTATTTTCTTAGGTCACTTGAGTCTTAACCCTTTATGGTAAAATAGTTACCTATATTTTGGGCCCAAGTACAAACAATGACCTGTGTTTTTTGGTCTCAAAGAAAACGACTACTAAGTAAATTATGTTGACAAACACCCTGAAATGATGGTGTGTACATCGTGTTACTTGTGGCAGAAGTGGTCAATTGTACGTTACAACAAAATGAATGAATGTACAAACTGCGTATGAATCATGTGAATAAGAATTTAAAGACACTTGATTGCTGTTTTTTAGGTTAAGCAGTGAATAGTGTAAAAAAAATTATATATATATATATATATATATATATATATATATATAATATATATATATATATAATATATATATATATAATATATATATATATATATATATATATATATATATATATATATATATATATATATAATATATATATATATATATATATATATATATATATTTATTTATTGGTAAGAATATGACGATGATGCACAAAAGTGAATGTTAACGTTTATAAGTTTGATAAGGCGCGCGAGAAGTAATGTGTATGGTAAGTTTTCTAAGTTAGGATGTAACTACAAATTGATTTCACGTTGGGTAATATTCCACCATGTTAATAATAAAGTGAACTCGGTAAGGTCAACAATTATAATGTTAATCGGATTTTTCTTTGGGGGGTTTTCTGTCCGGGTTGTCCTCCGGGAATCATTTCATCCACCCGGCGGCATGTTAACACACACACACCGGCCAGACGGCATACAAACAGGTTTCTGAACCGCGAGTCATCGCCGTCTTGTCTGAGAGTGCAGCTATTTTTCTTTGTTTATTTTCTCTTTTTGTGTGTGCTCTTATCGGCTCGGTTAGGTCGACATCATTTTCCTTTTTTATCCAGAAGTTATGTGGTTGATGTGTTTGTCTGAGGCAGCACCATCTTCCACCTTCACTTGATCAGGTTTACTTTCACTTGGTGTAAATATGTAAGAGTGCCGCGCAGAAAAACGTATGCCCTGTAATAGGAACTAAGAATTATTGTCTGCATCGCCTTACTTTCACCAACTTAACTTCCTGCCTTTAAACTGGTTATGGTTGAACCTGTTTACTGGGATAATGGAGTGCAATGAAGAGACGAAATCGTCCGTCGAGACTTAGGTACCGTACACACGTCATCCTTGTGCATCCAGATTCACTTCATAGTTCACTGCTAGGATGACAGCTCAGAAAGTTCTGTCACCTTTTCATATCAACCAGCTTTCAATAAAACTTTCCCTTCCCCAATGTAGCTCAGTAGAATTCGCATGACGAGGCATTTCTGCTGCTGGGTTCGTGCGGGTTACTCTCCTGTGTGAAAATTTGATCGTAACTGATGGTCGCTATACACTATACGACAAAAGATAACCCAATTAATCTAGTTCGTTCTGCCTTCCTATAACATCAACATGAACTATCCTCAAGTCTTGTTTCTCTGGGTTGATCATTTTTTTTAGATAATGACTTCGGTTGTTGGTTACTTCTTTGATACTGTATATCCTTTAGAAACTACATTCCTAGTGAAATGTTTAAGACAGGTTTACGTTTCTGCCCTCATTTCGTCCATTGTCAACACCGCTCTAGTCACGTACACCAATCACTTCAACGTATCTCATTATTGTACATACTAACTGTGCTAATTCTGCTTTTCTTCTTTTTATGTATTATCATAATGGTTTTCTACCTGTCTTTCCAATCATCTTTGTCTACACCTTGATTTCGTTCCCCATTCTTCACGTGGTTGCTTCACTTTCACTTTCTAGAACATCTCCACCCCTCCCCCCCCCACCCTCTTCCCTTCATAGTCATTTCACTATCAGAGAGCGTGGTCAGAATAGTGTATAATATCCCTTCTCTCGGGAATTAATTCGTCAATCGTAAGAGGAAAAGTCGTGGTACTCAGGTTCACAGTAAAGGGCACATGAGCCTAAGGAGGGTTCACGCACATTTTTAGCGGCGTTTTGTGTATGGGTGTGGCACAGGGTCGCCCTTCACTACTGTGTTTGTTTCTTCCTCACATTTAAAAGTGTCTGGTGACCGCTGTATTACTGTGTACTAACTGTTGAAAGTTTTGCACCCTTGCCACAATGTTTATTGTGCACACACACACACACACATATATATATATATATATATATATATATATATATATATATATATATATATATATATATATATATATTATTTATTCATTGGTTTCATAATAAATACTACCCGATTAGTGAATTCTCTTGGTTTTAAGAATCCAACAATACCCTTTATTCTAAAATCCACAAAGGATTAGATAATTTATATGGGGGTTCGAGGGTGGTTCCCACTCAGAGGGCATTGCCCCTGGCCTCAGGCGTGACCTGAAACTGTCTACAGCCAATTACTATTCGTCGGTGAAGGTGTTTCGAGAGTGAAAGTGTTCAGAGCCTTGGGTGAGGGTAAGTGAGGCGCCGACCAGCGTGCTGATGCACTGCGGTGTTAGTCATCTGTCATCCTCACACTTCCGTCCGACTCCATTTTACCTCAAACCTTTCTTTTGTTCAATTTTCGTATTATGATTTTGAAAATCGTAAATTTTACTTAAATATAAACTCAAAAGAGTGATTTAACACTATTGAAAGGAGATTTTAATTTTGAAATGTGTTACCGTTTAAAAGGATATCAGCATCAGGCAGGTATGAGTTATGTCTCCCATTTCTCACTGTTATTTTCTTTCATCAATATAGTTATTAATCTAACACACGCACACCGTGGAGTACCGTAGTTGTGACGTCAGATACAGCGGGACTAGACTTTGTTGCAGATGAAAGTAAACAACCAGTAAACGTTGCGACACTAACCAAGCGTAAGTTTGCATAACAGAATGGAGAGGGGGGAAATTTGATTAAATCCATTATATAGACGAGGTCATCGTACCCTTATGTGGTAGTAATTATTAAGCAACGCCATAAGGAAAAGAGGGAGTGTATGTCGTAACTGACGCTTGCCAGAGGGGGTTCAAAAGAGATAACCGGTTATAAGCTGAACTGTAACATCAGTAGAGTATAACATTTTGTTGCTACATTCATTGAATTATTTGTTTACGTCATTTGCCTCAGCTTAACCAAGGTCTATAGACCATGGGTCTACCCAGCAGTAATTAGGAACTTTGAAGTTGAATATCAATTGATTTGCGAATCATGTTCCGGGGGTAATAGTTAGCAACTTAGCCAGGCAGTTGCCAGCAAGGACTAAAAACTAGTATCCTTGGTTGTCCGGTCTTCCTGGATTATTCATGGACATTGTATCACACAGTTCATTAACTTAGGGTGTGGTTGTTGTATTGGCCCTGGGGCCTTAAACACAAGGAGAAACCAATATACTGTATACTAAAACAAGGCAAATAACACGCATCAATAAATGTTAAGCTGGATAACACTATTCTACACCATCATGACCACCACCCTTGTTCCACATTCAGCTTTTGAAAAGTTACAACTACAGACTACTGTGTGTTTTAGGATTATTTTTCACTTTCCCTTGGCTCTTGAATAATTAGAATCAAAAGTAATGTCTGAGAACAGCACTAAAGTACCATCAGAAGTTGTTAGATTTCATTAATTTTTCCACATGTTCTATCATTATAGTATCTTATAAAAGGCGACATTTGCTAGAATCTGACCTAACTAGCCAAAGAAACTTACCTAACCTTACCTAAAGCCATATTAAACAGTACTTATTTTGATATCTGGTACCATGAAAGCAACTTTGTTGAAGAGTACACACAGACCGAGCGAGTCGGTTGTAAACAGACGACACACGGTGACTCAGTAGAATCTTCAGAGAAGTATTTACGGTAAATAATTAAATAATTTCTTTGCATACAAAGATCGTAGACATCATTTTAAGGTGTTTGAGATGCACGGTATAGCTAACATGTTAGCTATTCTGTCTGCGCAGACGCTGCTGCTGACTTCTGCACATGACACTTTCAAAAGGAAAAGCAAATGCCTCGATCAAGCGTTAGCGTTTGCAGCGGGCAGAGGCGCCCGAATAGCTAACAACCAATCAGCGAGTTTCTCCCACTGAAACACTGTGTAAATACACGGATCATGGCTTCTTATGGAGAATATTTTGATTAATATTGAAGAGTTGGGTGCATGTAAGGCAATAAAAAAAAATTACTTTAAATAAAAATAATTCTATATACGGTAGTACTGTATTGGATAGGTCGATAGGACCTCAAACAAAGCGCATGGCGTGAAAAATTTGAATAGGATTGAGTCTAGTTGAAACCTGTTTTGGCTCTGCCCTCTTTTTAGTGGGCGTTGTCCAATTTCATTAGTCGCTTGTGAATTTTGTGTAAAATATTGCTAATTACTCAAATATGATTAGAACTTTAATATCATTACTCATAAGATACTTTAAATAAGGGTGAATAAGTTGATTACAGTTATGTAAATGCAGAAATTCGTTGTATTTCGTGTTTATATGTGTGAACACCTGTAAACAACACAATGTAGCCAGGAGACGAGAGAGCATACGTAGTGGAGGCCATGGCGCACCTTTCCTGTAGAAAAAATGGATCAAGCCATGTAAGTAATGTAGGAAAGATATTACTGTATACCAATACCTCACAAATCCTTGATTCTTACAGTATAATCTGCTACTGAAGTATAAAGCTATCACGGTGTCCTTTACAAACAGTTCTCCTAATACTTTTACTTTTATCCTCTTCGCCACTGATCGGCTTGTTAGCCGCTTGGGCGATCGGTCACGTCTCTTCATTTATATTCTTACCAAAAGATCGGCTCGCTAGCCGCCCGGGCGATCGGTCACGTCTCTGTCACGCACTGTTGGCAAATACTGGGCATGCACCGGCTCCTGAATGTACCTGAACCCGCTCCAGTGTTGGTCAAGTCTTCTCTTGAAAGAGCTCACACTCGGTGCCGTCACAACACTCTCTGGTAGATTGTTCCAAGAGTTTACAACCCTCTGAAGACTGTGTTGTCCAACAGTTATTCCCAAGACAATGTACAGTAGTATTTTTTATTGAAGGTCCGGGAAAGCTAACGCTTTAGCTATTCCGTGCATCTTAAAACGCCTTTAGTGTCATATGATCATTTTCCCACTGTGTTTTACCCAGCAATTTCCCTTACCCTTCATGCCCTGTACTGCAGGTGTTATATGATCGCAAGAGAAAAACAAAATACTTATACGCAATTAAAATAAAAAAAATTTGTCCCTTTTAAAATACTTACTATAACAATAAGAACGATTGCGGAGAAAATTAACGAAATCGAACTCCTGGTGGGAATACAGGTACTATTCTCAGAAATTACCAAATCACTCATTGTTCCTCACACTGATACAGTATATGTGATACAGTATTTACGCATCATCTCTTCGGGTGAATCCCTGTCAAGTTCTTATTTCGATTCTCGAATTTATCACCATTATCAGTATAGGTTAATTATCACTAAAACATCCTGGCGTATCCAATAATCCTGCAATCGTTTTATAGTAATCTTGTAATAGTGATATATTTAGGTCTTATTTTTTTTAACGACTAACATAAACAGTAACCTAGAATATGCACTTAAAAGATCTTATACTGTAGTTGAAGTCCAGTACAATATTGTATTTATAACATCAAAAACAAGGCCTTAGTTGTTGAAATGCAGTAATACATGTACAGTAATATTAACAAGTAAGGCACAGTCCGATGTGGTAGATGTATGTACAATATTATACACATTAACTGAACACAGCCTCATCTAGGATCTAGACTCTTTTATTAGACTTGGGTTCCATCCATCTGTTTGTTCGTTCGTCAGCAGTTGTCCTGCAGTTTGATTCAAAATGTCACACATGCCTAGGTATTCTTTAGGTAGCACACACTCCAAAAATTATTTTTACAATTTTGTGTTAGACAATACAGGTTGACAACCCTTTATCCGAAATTCCGAAAACCGAAAGGTTTTTTTGTGGAGCAATTTTTTTTTTTTTTTTTTTTCAGGGATTAGCCCACCCAGGCATAAACCACTGACCCACATCGGGGCCTGGGGGGCGAAAATGTAATAGTAATACTAATTATAATAATAATTATAATAATAATTATTCATAGTAAATAAAAAATTTAGTTAAAAAATACACCAAAATAAAATAATAATGATAACAATAATAGTAAAATATAATAATAAAATTTATAATAATAATAATAATAATAATAATAATACTATATTAATAAAATAATAATAATAATAATAAAGAAATACAAGAATGAAAAAAGATAAAAAAAGTGAGAAACACAACCTAGACCTATGAATTATTATTATTATTATAGTTATAATTGTTATTATATTTTCGCCCCTCAGGCCCCAATGTGGGTCAGTGACTTGTGCCCAGGTGGGCTAATACACAAAAAAAAAAAAAAAAAAAAAAACCCTAACCATTCTAAAAACCGAAAAATAACGAAATCCGAAATGCCTCTGGCTCCAAGGATTTCGGATAAGGGATTGTCAACCTGTATGACACAACGGACGAAGGATTTTTTACTCCTACTGAGACAACAGGAATCACAGTGTTTAGAAATTCATCGACCCCTCCATAAAGACACTTTTTGTTGTGTGTACCTCTACAAGTTTTGGGTTCTTATCGATGTAACTTTAATTGTATTTAATTGGCTTGTAATATCAAAAGTAAAAATGTCTGGATTTTCATTGTACTGTACAAGGTATTTGATATATATATTTTTTTTTTTTTACAGGTTGTCATCTTAATTGGGTTGGTGTCCATAGCAGTGGCCGCTAAGCTAGGCCTCAACTTGGAGGAAGAAACTACTACAACTTATGAGGTGAAATTTTATATATACAGTACATAGACACAGCCTACATACAGATGCAAACATACTTGGACCACATACATGCAAACTTACTTAGCCCACATACATGCAAATATTACTGAGCCTACAAACAGGAAAACATGCTTACTCTACATACATGCAAATATACATAGCCTACACACATCCAAACATACTTAGCCTACAGCCTACATACTGTATATATATTGCATACTGTACAATACTGTACTTCCATAAATGTATAGTCCTATTGTCTGTAGTCTGGTATTAATCACAGGTTAGATCACATTTTATAAATCAAACTTAATTTTGCAGTGTCCTCCCCTCTTCCTGCCTCCTAAAATTCCTAATCAAGCCAGTACTGTACAGATGATCACTTAAGCATTATGTGTGCCTTAGTGCAGTTCATTATTTATAAAAATATTACCTTGATAGGAAAAAATAGAAATACCTGTACAGATGTTCCTTTTAAAACACTACATCACCACCATACAAACATCATGATTGGATTTTCCAACAAGAGCTCTCGCTGATTCCAGTTTTCTTGTCCATAATTTCATGTTATAAAGTTGTCTAATTTTAAAGTGACTCATCCTCGTCACAGATAGAATGACACTAACATTCACCGCCGTCTTTCCACAGCTACCCAAGCCCTACAACTTCGGCTTCGAGGTTCGCGATGACAACACGACTAACTACCAAAACCGAGCCGAAGTGTCAGACAGCGAGGGCCGCGTTAAGGGCTCTTACAGCTATGTCCTCCCCGATGGCTTCGTCTACACTGTCACCTATGAGGACAAGAGGGACGGAGAGGGCCTCAAGGTTGGTGCTCCCATTACTGTGTATCTCAGACCAGACCTAAGAATTCTTATTGTTACATGTAAAATTACAAGAATTCACCGAATTTAAACAGTCACAGCATTCAGTGTATACTCAAGATCTGCATTACCAATGAACCTAAATTCATAATAATGACAAGTTAGCTCACACAATGTAAAGATGTTATTATACCTTAAACATTGTATTGCTACTCATCCCTATACTGTACTGTACATCCTTGAGAAGATAAATTTGCTTTGATATACAGTATATTGCACTTACAAATCATGTTATCGGTATTTAATATTATACTTTTACACCATAATACACAGATACGGAAGGTATATAAGCATGAGTTAGTACAGTTTAGTAAAGTAATCATTTAAATTTTTTTCCTCTCATCCCCAGGCCATTGTCCGCAAGGAGCCCTCAGGCATCAAAGTCATCATTCCCGAACAAAAGAAGAAACCCAAGGCCAAGCCCGTCAACCTTCAACATGGTTCACTATTTTAAATAAAAGAACATCATGCAATTTTTATCCTAATGTACAAGCCCTCACTTGAGAGTTCTTTAGATTAAGGACCGATTCATCTTAGTGTTTCATCCCTAGAGGTTTTCATCTTTGATTTCTTTTGGCTGGACCTTCCCTCTTCAACCTGCTATACACCATTTAAGATCTCTTGACAGCTTTTGCAGCACAGTAGCAGTTCAGAATTCTTTATGTAGGCATATTGTTATTCCAATCCTTGATTTAGAAATTACACTGCAAAAACTGTGTCTTTCATTGTTTATCTTATTGTTTCCACTCCAAGCCTTCCCCCAGGGATATTTTCTAATGCCATGATTCTTCAGTTTCTAAGTTTGGACATTCTTAGTATACAGTACTGTACTGTATATCTAACTACAGCACATAATGTACATCATGAAACACTCTAGATGCATAAAATCCAAACTCTTTTGGTTGGGACCTATAACCTCACACGATAACATCCATGTAATATCTTCCGAATGGATCTGTATTGTACTTCAAAATTATCACAGGTTTACTATTGATTACTAACTTGAACACCTTCTACCTTAATGAAGACATATTTGTTGGTCATCTTTCACTAATACTTCTTTAAAAATTTATCTCGACAATCTTTGGAATGAACATCTTCAACCTCTCTCCCCTAGTTTTGGAAAAAACATCAAATCTGTCTGGATCTTATCTACTTTAATCACCTAAACATATTCCTTGTAGCATCGTGTATGTCTTCTGACCAACTGCTAGTTAAATAATTAACTGCTTCATTGACGTCCTCAAGATCAAACACATATTACAGTTTTTAGAGTTTTTCCAAAAATCATACAGAAACACAAATGCATTTTTAAATATACAGTACTGCACTATTTCTGTGTTTGTAATGCTTCTTAAATATTCACTGAGCTTATAATTCTCGAGTCCCTTTCATTAATCTCTCTCTCTTAGCAATCTACAGTACTACCAGTATGTCACTTAATTTCACTTTTACTGCCTCTATTTTTTGGGGAGGGGGGTCCAGCTGAACAGTAATTAATTTTGTCATGAATCACACAAGGCTTTCTCTGGTTATACAGTTCCATCTAACTTAGATATACTGTATTCATTGTATTATTACTATACAGAGAACAGTCTCACTCCCTCATGCTCTGTGTATCATTCTTATTGTTGGAAATAATGTTATGTTTTATACCTCCATAAAGTGGCATATTTTCTCAGGTGGTCTTACTTTCCTACAAGATACAATTTGTAATTTATTATTATTATTGTTGGTGTTGATTTTTCTTATTATTACAGTATTATTAACATACAATATTAGAAAATATCGTAATTCTGAAGTTAAAGCGTAGTGTGTGAAAAATGTTTGTATAAAAGAATGACAAAAAATTTTAACAACAGAGAAATACAGTAATCCCGTGTTTTTCGCAGGAATTACGTTCCTGAAACCCCCACGAAAAGCCAAAACTCTTAGGAATCACTGTACCTGTGGCCACCAAACAGCTCAGGTAGGTCATGCACTTAACCACGCCATGCTCTCCACTCACGGCTCAGTGGTCACACTGATCACTGATGCACTGTACCGGCATTTACTAACAGCAATATTTGAAACTAATCATATTGTAGTACCGTATAATAATGGAAAAATGTAAACACAGTCATATACAAAAAAAATTATTTACAAGTACAGTAAATAAATTTTTTTTTATTTCGCTGAGGTTGGCAACACCCGCATTACCAGCCTCTCTCTGCTGTCCCGGCGTCTGTCCGCCCTCACACAGTCACGCCAGCCAGCCAGCCAGTTCTCTTCCACCCACATTCCTCCACTTGAAGACTTGCAATTCTGACAAAAGACACATAGCTCATACCACCTCTGAGCTTGTCCAATAAAACTGTTTTTTCCGTTAAGGTCAACACTATTCTTGATCTCTTGGTCACTTTAGAGTCTTTGCTAGTAATATTTGCCTTTGATGAGGCTGGCTTAAGTCTCGGAGCCATATGGAATGCACGTGGGAGGACAAACAGAAGAGGTAATCACAGTAGCGTTCACAGTACGGTAGGCACGTGTGGACTGAGGCTTCTCGGAGCAGTGGGTGTCGTCTGTTTGTCGCACCTCACAGGAATATCGAAAATGGCGCAAAATTATATACTGTATATAAATATATATATATATATATAATTTTTTAATTGAAAAAAACCGCGAATTGTCAAAACTGCGATAAAAAAAAACGCAAAAAACACGGGATTACTGTATGGCAATACTTTTTACTTACTAGTGACTTGTAGCGCTGAGTCCAGGTTTGTTTGTCGTCCGTGCTTAAAATTGTTCAGTCAATTGCTCTACTTGTGCCAATAATCAAACCTAAATGAAAAAAATGACAAATTTCAGAATTTTGGACATACTGTAGTAATGAATTGCATTACTTGTACTAAGATGTCAGAAACCATAAATATAACATCTAAACCTACATTTAAAAATTGAGGGTTACAACTTACAATATACTGTATAAACCCTTGATAGAAATACACAAGAGGAAAGCGTGTGTGCTATTTGAAATGACTTAGCCTATATAATCTAATATCAGTCTTACTCACGGATCATTTTTGGAAGACTTATGGCTGGAAATATTATTCCCCAAAACTAAATCAATCCTGTAACTACTGGTGGCATCTTTTACTGCTCACCCTATGATAGTACAGTAATTGTTTAGTATAGGTTGTGTTAGGACAGGAATGCTTAGCGACAGAATTTCCATCGAAAGCCCACAAGAGGGTTAAAGGGCATAAGGATAAAAAACAAGGGGGGGGGGGGAACGGGAAGATAATCACAAAAGACCTCTTACTGTAGGCAATAAAGTACAGAAATATAAATTTAACACAAGAAGAATATTTAGGGTATATAGTCTACTATCCACTTGTGTACTGGGTCCCCTATGCTGAAAAAAATAGTTTGGTATTGGCTAAATAAAATATTAAAATTAGCATCACCGTAGTGAAGGGGTTAAGCAGTAAGACTAAGGAATATTAATAACTGTACTGTATTCTGTAATGCAAAAATCTCTGGTGCATTAAAAGTCTATGGACATCTACAAACCAAAATATAATTCTAAAATAGTGCCATTAATTGATAATGAACTATGCCATGCTTCATCTACATTATATAGTTAACTACTGCATACTACTGTACTATGGTATCGCTATCCTGCACTACAGGTGCCTCATCATTGGTCAAAAAAATAAAGCTGCCTAAAACAACAACAGTAGAGTTAAATCTGAAATTAATATAAATCCTGTTATGGAAATGGAGGCATCACCCAAACAGTCTTGTACCTTCCAATACATCAAAGGTTTCAGTACTAAACAAAATACAATACCATAAACAAATTAAATCCTACAATAGCAGAGATGTCAATAATATCGCAGCCAGAGTGGAATACAGGTTGACAACCCTTTATCCGAAATTCCGAAAAGCTCTGAAAACCTTAAGTTTTTTGTGGAGCAATTTTTTTATTTTATTTTTTTAACAGGGATTAGCTCACCCATGCATAGATCACAGACCCACATCGGGACCAGGGGGGCGAAAATGTAATAGTAATAGTAATACTAATTATAATAATTATTATTATTCATAGTAAATAAAAATTTTAATAAAAAATACACCAAAATAAAATAATAATAATAACAATAACAATAATAAGAAAATATAATAATAAAATTGATATTAATAATAATAACAATAATACTGTATTAATAAAATAATAATAATAATAATAATAATAAAGAAATACAAGAATGAAAAAAGATAAAAAGTGAGAAACACAACCTAGACCTATGAATTATTATTATTATATTTTCGCCTCCCAGTCCCCAATGTGGGTCAGTGACTTGTGCCTGGGTGGGCTAATACAAAAAAAAAAAGTACAAAAAAATAATTAAAAAATAAAAAAAAAAAAACATTCTGAAAACCGAAAATTTCCGAAATGCCTCTGGCCCCAAGGATTTCGGATAAGGGATTGTCAACCTGTATTACAATAAAAGTGAAGTACCGTAGATACAACTGTTCCTGGTTAATATAAGGAAGAGAATATGGTGAGGACATCCCAAACATGAATCAATAGCCCTTCTGTTTTTAATGACTGGCTATTTCCTGGAGAACCCTCTTAAGAGCTCTGGGTTATATCTGGAAGACAGTGATTTATAGCAACTAGCCACTTTTTCAAGGTGTGTGGGTTATGAACACCCATAAACCAAGACTGGTCTCATAACCGAGTCACCCGGAAAAGTCGAAGTCATAAAATACATTTCTTTGACGAATGTTCTTCCAGATCCTCAAGAGTTCAATAACTGTCACTGCCATTTACCCTTAAGTTTGAACTTTTCAAGTAAGGACAATAAAACAATTTAAATTAGTTACCAAATTGTTTTCAGAAACTCCTTTACATTGCAATGCAGCCACACTTTCAAACATAAGGAATTAAGCACACATACCCCAACTGAATACAACCCTACTCAGTATACTGTATATGAGTGATATAAAAATCAATTAATACAGGAACTGCAAGCAGAACTTTGAACTTGAATAGCACTAAGAACTATTCATCAGGTACTTAAGGTCTCCTCAACTTATCTAATAATACTTTGGCAAAACAACTAGTACCAGATTTGGGTAAATATCATTGATAATCACATGAAACAATGCTTTATTTACACATGCAAACCTCTTTAGACACACACATACTGTATTATAATAAAATAGTATTCTCATATAAAATTCTTTAGTACAACAATAATATCATGAATATTCAAAAGAAAATACAAAGCATTCATGAATATTATTACTGTACAAGAATAACACAGATTCACGATGAAACACGGCTCATGTACAATATTAATTTAACAAAGCACTGGATAGTGTTTTCCAGAAATGGAAAAAAATTAAATACACTTTACACATACAGAGCTTCACCTCAAACCCCATTTCATAATGCAAGACCAAAACAAATAACCAAACGAATAGATCAAACACATCTACTGAAAAACAATATGCGTATTTCTTAAAATCAATATTACTTAGATCAATGTGTTTCTCTACAATTTTATCTGTGCAAAATATAAATTGATTAATATTATGCTTACCGGCGACTCACAGCGATAATACTCATTAGAACACTAGTATCACGATAAAGCTACTTAATCATAATTGTGTCATGAAGCTACAAATACTGTAACTGCAATATAAAATGAAAATTAAATCTTCATTCTTTTTATATTCTTTTCAGCAAGGTAATTTTATCAGTATTAAATGAGTATCCTACATTTATAGCAACCCAATAATATTTCAAATAGCTGATGTTTTGAAAATTAAAATTTACATACAAAATGATGAATAAAATTAGTGCAGTCAGTACTGTACCATCCTTGTTAATTCTGCTTACCAGACATTTGTACATTTATCAGTGATAACAATGAGAAATGCCAAAATCATCCAGCCAGAAAAACAAAGACATTCTTGACTCCACTGGTTTAACTTTCATGTGTAAATCCAATAAGCTGTCTGAAGGCTGGTATACAGTACATTTTGTACATGTAGTACATATTTTTTCTCAAACACAAATGTGTTAATTGTGCCTAAAAAGTAAATCTTTTTATCTACCTATAATAAAAATTCAATTCAACACAATGGACTTAGTAACTTTTGGGCAAAGGAATGATTCGTGGATTAAATTCGTAATGGCGACTTTTGTCTCGTCTCGCCTCTCCTCATGCCAAGCCAACTATTAAAAAAAGAAAACGATCAATACATTCACACGTATCCTCAGTTTATGTTCGGTGGACTGTCCAAGACAAGTAACCTACGTTCCATAATAAACTCTGACATCAGTTCCATCCATTCCTTTAGCTTAACAGACTTGGAAGGGTTCCCAGTTTTCTAGCAATTTGAAACTGTTTTAAGAACTTTAATAGTATCAGGTGAGAAATAAGATAATTATTATAAAAGACAGAGAAAGAGAGAGAATGTGTTACACAGTTAATATAAATAAGACTGGCCTATAACAGCAATAAATACAAAAAGGATACATCACATCACATAGTAATTATTATCACATGACAAGCAAATAATAAATATTCAGTATAGTTAGAAGTGTTTTATCCTCATATGATGAGTCAGTGAAAATATCAATCTTCAAGATTAATTTTCTATAACAACTTTTACTTG